CTCCTGATCCTACGCCAATGAAGCTAGACTACTCCTAGTAGTCCCCAATTTCGCCTCTTCTTTGCGTAAGCCTGGCCCTCGCTGCTTCCCTACCCTACTCTAAACCCCCCAGTTCTGGTTAGTTCTCGCAGAACTGTGTACTACCTACCGTACTTACTCTTTACCGTCGTCGGTAATGGTATCGGTACCTGGTACCAGTACCACAGATATTGTGCAGACCCTCGCCGAAGCACTCACGCAAGTGAGTTGTATGTCGGGTCGGTTGTATGTTGGGTTGGTTGAACCCACTGTCATTGGCTAGTAGTCAGGGCATGCCTTCTACTTTGGTCCAATTGCTACTGTCATTGGGTCAGGCATGTCTTCCACTTTAAGTCGCGGAAGATGCCAGGAGTGAAATGACAAGCCCGAGAGCGATTAGAGGCGACCAGTAAAGTTGTGGAAGACGGAGATTATTCGGAAGAAGCACCGGAGGGTCTTGCCGCGGCCCAAGACGAATTTGAAGCTTTGGGTGGATATGAGGTGGAACAGTTGGTGGATACCGTCTTGAAGGGATTGGGGTTTGATGTGCTGTTGTCATTGATGAGACTAGAGGAATTGCCAGTAAACGTCGCAATCGGCGCACCACAAGTAGGACCGTGAAATTTGCAGCGAGTGACAGTGAAAGTGACCATGACGACGACTTCACCTATATATAGTGCCGAGAAATGAAAACGAAAATGATGCCGAAAGTGGTGGTGACAACAAAAGCCAAAAGACGAAGGAAAACAAAAGCCGTCAAAGGCACAGAGTCGACCACAAAAGCCGTCAAAGGACCACAGTCAACGGTCGCCACGAACCCCACCACCAAGAGAGGAAGTGGCTGTGGCACTCGCAGCAAAACCAAAACGACAGGCAGCACCAAAACGACAGCCAGCGTTCCTCTTCCCGGATTATTCGAAAGTGGTGGTGAAAACAAAGCCCAAAGCCACAAAGGCGAAGGATCGCAAAAGCCGCCAAAGGCACACAGTTGACGGTCGCCATGAATGCCACCACCAAGAGAGGAAGTCGCAGTCGCAGCAAAGCCAAACAGTTGCTGGAGGCACTTGGACCGCACCCTCCTCCGTATCCCAGCTGTGCGAGCCAGAAAGTTCAGCCCAAAGAATTGTGTGAGTGAGGGGCCAAGTTGTGTGAGGAGTGCTACCCCACGCATGTGATGACAGAACATCGTCCAACCAGGCACGTGCAAGACATGCCTACCGGTACCACCAACTAGCGACTTCTATGAGCTGGTCAGATACATGTAGCAGGATAAAAAATTTTATTAGTCACTTCGTATGGTTCAACTTGAACGCTGTCAACCCAGTACCGGTAGCGGCCTCACTTCCAGTGCATGCCCATCTGTTGGTGGAGCAATGCTGCTACCAGCCACGAGGGAAAAGAGAACGGGGTACACAGAGGCAGATTGCGACCCCACAAAAGGGAGAAAGCGTGCTGCCCGATTCATTGTTCCGTCCGCAAAGGCTGACGCCAGAGATGCACAATCAATGGTTGCAGAAGGTCTTAGTAGTCTGGTAGGACACCACAACAGAACCCTTGTAGAAAGTGCAGGTAGCTAGAGCTAGTCGTTCTATTGAATCAAATTCTGAATCCATATACCGTAGGTGAAAGTTGATTGGCGGCGGACGCCCCCAGAGCTTCTGTGCTTCCCTTCCACCCCCCTGAGAGTCCCAACAAGGTTGCTTTTCGGAAGGCATGCTTCCTAGGGCTCGAACCAGCGGCAACCTTGGTCGTAATGCCTGAAACATTTCCAGCTCTGCGGCAGTGTCATGGGCTTCATGTTCTTGTATTATGAGGTCATGCCTACGGTTCCCTACGGTACCACCAGCAGGGAAGTCATGATGATGGTTTCGCTCAACCGGCCCTGCCAGATACTTCATTGTCGTGGCTCTTGTATTGCCATCACATCTCCACATGCTGTGATTACAATAAACTCCTTTGGGTTGGTAGCACCTTCACAAAGTTTCAACTTACGCCTGTGCCTACCGTGCGCTTCGTGGGCGAAACTCCATTCGAAGTTTGAAGGGAGCAGTCGGTTCCATCTTAGCTGTCATTCGCTTTTGGGTTACAATAGTATTTGCGTATGTTCCGATAAGGTCATTCATCAATACATGACAATTAACGATGTCTGTAATAAACCATCTGGTAAGACTAGAGCTTCCCGTAAACCATTGGTACTGGTTCTACCTGGAGATTTCTACGTCTGTTGGACCGTGGGAGTCAGTACATTGTTCCGATCCTGCTTCGCTGCTGCCATCCGAAAACCAGTCACACTCCCTTTCTTTGGGTTTCCCAATGCGCTAGCTTGCTCAACAAGCCCAACCATTGGGGTAGAAGCTTCGCTCAGAGCTATCCAGAAAACCACCACGAAAAGCTCACAACATCAAAACCAAGAACCTCTCCAAACAAAACAAAGCAGCATCCTGTCACAACACAAAAATCTCACCCTCAAAAACAAAATCATCAAAATGAGTTCCAACCAGACCCAAACCACCGCCTCGCAGACCACATCCACTCAAGAACAAGATGTTCGCCTCTACATGCCCTCTCTTGGAATGTTCAAGGCGTGCAGTTTGACTCTTGGGTTGTTGGTTGGTGCATTCATTTATCTCAGTACGCTTGGAGCTGAATTCGTCGCTGTCATGGTGTTCGGAAAAGAAATCCTCGACAAGAGCAACAACGAGCTGGTCCTCTTCTCTCTCGGATGGAATCTGGTCACGACTTGCATTGCTCTTGTTGTCTTGGCCACCTTACGCCGCCTCGTCGCAACAGTCTTCACCGCAACTGTTTCAGAGTCTCGTTCCCAGGACAATATTGACAATCTTTCCTCCGAGCTGCTCGCTTACGTGGAGGGACGCTTTGCTGTTGGAGCCTTGGTTGGAATTTGCATTTCCTGGAACCTCACCAACATGGTCCTTGGCATGCGGCCTCAAGTTATCCAGAGCTGCATAATTTTGGCGGTCGCCTGTCTGTGGTGCAGGTTGACTATCATCCTTCTGGCCCAGCCCAGTGAAGCTTTGATCCACGACGACAGTGAAGAAGGAGAAAGCGCGAAGGAGATCCAGTACGAGGACGACAAAGCAGAGCCCCTTCTTCGCACAGTTTGAAGTTTTCGTTCCACAATCTACGGAACTGCACGCCAACAACCACTCATCTCCCACCAATCTACTGTCAGCCTCCTCGACAATCGAAATCTCTTCACACCAGCCAAAAAGAAATAGCAACCTACACAATAAAAGCAGTAACAATATGTTTTAAGAAGTACATGTACCGTAGCAGACTCGCTTCTAGCTTGTGTGGTTGCGGTGGGAGTGTGTCACGAAGAATTCTCTTTCAAGGCTCTCTTGCTAAGAACTGGGCTCTGCTTTTGTTCGTGGCGGATAGAAATAAATACCGTAAAGGTTAGGTACCACTGCTAGACCTCTACTGTTGTTGGAGCCCATCACAACCACCAAAGATTACATGAAACATCTTCAAATCACTTCCAGCTCTCTTGCTTTCTCGTCTATCCGCAGCAACTGCCAGATTATCTTCAAAGACTCTCTTTTAGCTAGCTAGTGGGCGATTCGATTCGATTCATTGGTCCCGATGTCAGTACCCGTATATGCTTGATGCGTTCTTTTCAATGTGTTGCTTTTTGGGACCCCAGCGCTCTGGGAACCAACCTCCCGTTTCCTTTCTTGGACTTCGATCCTTGCATGAATCCCCACTCGTCCTGTCTCAGCTCCGCTGGGTTTCAACCCACCCTCCCGACTTGTACTACTGTACAGTACTGGTTGGTACAGTACTGTATGGTAAGTAGCCAAAAATTGACAACGGCCACTTGTCCAACCCGAACCGCAATTTGTGGCTGTCTTTTCTCGGGTATGGAGCAAATTTTGGACCCCTTGAAACATGCCAGTAGGTACAGTCGTACCGTTACTGTACGGTGTACCGTCCCTTTGCTGTGGTGCCCAAATACCCCATACACCCGCTAAAAACCACGATCCATGCCAAACCACGATAGAAGTCTCAAAATGCCAGCTCTAAGTACGTACACTCATTTATGCCTTGCGACAGAAACCACATGTTCAGCTCACCTTTGGCACACCCTTTCTCACAAAACGGTCTCGACCCGAAGGTGCGAGTGTCCCGGTGAACGAAGAGACGAAGCGCTCTTTGTCAGCGCTATCAGACGATAAGATCTGCAATAGAAGAGAGAGAGCCACATAGCTTCGCTCATCCCTCGGCATGCATTCCGAGAGACTCGCTGATCAATAGATCCAAGCAAAGCTACCACGGGTAAGATCGATAGGCGACCAATATCAATGCGATACGCATTCTTCTTCGTTCTCACAAATACTCTCTTCTCGAAGTCTTTTGATCAAGCGTCGTCGAATTCATCCACATTTGTTGGAAATCCACGCATTCGTATCGTCTAGGAAGCGTCAAACTCCACTACCCTTGCATTTCGTCTTCTGCTTGGTTTATCGATAAATCAACCCAGTAGTCCAAGCGCGAAAGAAACATGAGGATCTCTGCCATCATCTTGCCCCTAACCCTTCCAATCGTTGCCGCTCAGTTCGAGAGACCTATTTTTCCTTCCTTTGGTGGTGGTCAGGGCAATGGGAACAGCAATGGAAACTCGAATGGCTCTTCAAATGGGCAAGGCAATGGGAACGGCAATGGAAATTCAAATGGCTCTGGGAATGGCCAAGGCAATGGGAACAGCAATGGAAATTCAAATGGCTCTGGGAATGGCCAAGGCAATCGAAACGGAAATGGAAACTCAAATGGCTCTGGGAATGGCCAAGGCAATCGAAACGGAAATGGAAACTCGAATGGTGCTGCGAATGGAGGCTCAAATGGCTCTGGAAATGGCCAAGCTAATGGTGGCGGTGGTCAACCTCCAGGTCAACAGATTCCGTTGACACAATGGCGGTCATATGATGGATCAGATCGAGGCGATGGGTTGGGTGAAGCTGAGACAACACTGATTCGTTTAGCAGGTGATGATTTATCTTATGTCGACGGTGATGGAGAAATGATTGGTGGACCCAACGCTCGCGATATCTCGAATATCGTGGTAGCTCAAGAGACAACATCGACGAACTCCGCCGGTCTTTCTGACATGCTCTGGTCCTTTGGTCAGTTCTTGGATCACGACATCGACTTAACCGATAGCGGACCATTTGGCACAGCTCCTGTTCCCATTACCAATACAGAAGATCCCTTCTGGCAGTCCTGTACTGAAATGGAGTTCTCACGCTCGGTGTTTACTGGGTCTCCACGTCAACAAATCAACCAGATCACATCCTTCATTGACGGGTCAGTTGTGTATGGATCGGATGAGCCCCGTGCCCTGGAGCTAAGAACCATGTCAGATGGATTGCTCAAAACCAGCGATGATGGACAGATGCTGCCTTTTAATGATGGAGGACTGGACAATGCAGGAGGCACGTCCTCTGACTTCTATCTTGCTGGGGACATCAGGTGAGTGCTAAGCAGGATGTCTTTTTGCATATATCAATGTTCATGTTCCGGCCCTCACGCATCATTTTCTGGGACACTTGTAGGGCTAATGAACAAATCGGGCTGACTGCCCTGCATGCTCTGTTTGTCCGAGAACACAATCGCCTTGCTGCTGAGATCAAAGGTCGGTATCCGGGTTCCACTGATGAGCAGATTTATCAACTGGCTCGGAAATTGGTTGGAGCCACACTCCAGATCATCACATACAAGGAATTCTTGCCTGCCTTGATTGGAAACAGAGCACCCAACCCAGAGACCCTTTCATATGACGAGGGCACTGATCCTAGCATTTCCAATGAGTTTTCAACAGTGGCTTTCCGCTTTGGGCACACCATGCTTTCTCCTTCTTTCCAAATGGTGTCAGATAGTGGGCATGAAGGCTCTGTTGACTTGAAGGACATGTTTTTTAATCCAGGCTGGTACAATGGTTCATCCTATAAAGTTGACTGGGTACTCAAAGGGTTTATGGTGCACATAGCACAAGAGATTGATACTCAAATCATTGATGATGTACGAAATTTTCTCTTTGGGAGTGATTGTTTGGACTTGGGCACCTTGAACATCCAGGTAAGGTTGCACTAGTCTGCAAGCAATTGGCATCTGTTGGAGAACTTTGGTTTATTCTTTCTCCTTCTCACAAAACTATGCTTGTTTCACAACTCATAGCGTGGTCGTGATCATGGGATCTTGCACTACAATGATGTCCGAGAATCCATTGGCCTAAGTCGAAAAGTAAACTTTGCCAATGTTACATCTGACATCGGCTTGCAGGCAAAACTGGAACAAGTGTATTCTTCTGTTGATGAGATAGATGCCTGGATTGGGGGGTTGGCAGAAGATCATGAATCAGGGTCAGCGTGTGGTGAATTGGTAGGCGCGATCTTGGAGGATCAATTCACTCGTCTTATAACTGGGGATCCTTTTTTCTGGACATGGGATCCTGATCTACAAAATGCTCCTGGATTGAATGGTTTTTGGGATCCCAGACAAGTGACCTTGGCGGGAGTCATTCAGGACAATACAGTTCATTCCGACATAGGCTTTAGAAAGGCCTTTCAGGTTTGTTCTGGAAGGAGAGAGCCTTCCTTCATGTGTGGTCAGCTGTGGTGATGCTTAAATTGCTAAGTTCAGTTCCATGAAAAATTTAATCTATTTATCAATTCCTTCATAAAATGACTGTTCGCCCCAGGAGGTGTTGGGTACAGTCTGGATGTCACAGACAATCAAGTCTTTGAGCCCTCCTTAACTACATATTATGTTCCTCCTAAACTACATATTATGTCTCTGTTCAAACAGCAGTCATGCCTGGCAAAGGAATGATGGTTTGGAAGCTGGAATGGTGCAATACCTTTGCTGGAGCAAAAGAAGCTGGAAGATTATCAGCAGCTATGGTTCCTCCTCCAAAAGTTGCTTGCTACTCAATAGCCATCAACCACGACAATGGCATTGGCACAAGTCAGACCCAAGATGATTTGAAAAGTGTTTTGATTCTTTTGTGTAGTAGCTTGTGCTGCACTGCTAATATGGAACTTTAACTAGTGGAGCAACTTCAGACTAGAATAGATAGTAGCTACAAGTACTGTCAATGAACCCTACCGGTAGCTAGCACAAGAACATCAATTCACACCAAAAGTCTATTGCCCTGCTGTGCTGCATGGCATTATGTATCGGTGTCCACAGTGTTTTGCCCCATGGGTTCAAGGTGTATGCTAACCTGGCAAAAATCCTAGCCACAGATGTTAGAGGCACTACCTAGATAGCGGAAGGTACATGTGGGAGTTAGGCAATACATAGGAGCAGAGGACAGAATACAAAGCTGTTGCTCCAAACTTGGGGGGGTGTAGTTCACTATTCAGGCCTCGAATTATGAGTGTGAGCCCATGGATGTTGTGTTCTATGTTCTAGGGCACTGCACTTGATGGGCCATCAGAACCATCACAGGAGCAACCACAGCCACACATCGTACATGTACTGGTGCAGTCAGAAGCCAACCCAAAAGAGCCGCCATCACAGATGTCCACGAGACTACTTTCCATGCAGGTGCCATTGATGTTGCATAAGGATTCAGGAATCATCCCAGACAACAGTGGAGTTCCTTCAAACGTCAAAGTGTCCTCAGGTTTGTCAACAGACCAACTTTTGTTGGAATCGGCCCCACACCAGGGAGGAACATTGTCCCTAGTCCTCCCAGGGAAGAAAGCTTTCCCACATGAGTGCAAATAGAAAACTCCAACCCTTGGTTCCATCCAGCTGATAGAGCTCGAAGAGATGTCAACAGATACAGTTCAGTTGGTAAGGAACCCACAAGATTGTTCTTGTCCAGCCAGAGATTCTGATACAGACCCTGCCCATCACAGGTTCTAGGGGCTGCTTCTGTCCATTCTTTTGTCCACTCCTCGTTCAAATATCCACGATACACATGCCCCACGGTTTCTTGTTGTGCAAAATCTGGCTTGCTGTACCATTCACACTCATGGATGGTGTAGTTCAGCCAGTGATCATTGGCCGTCCACTGGTCCCCATCTGTGGCAAAGTACAAAGTGGCAAGAGCAAACCTTTGCTTGATTCTGCTGTCCAACAACAGGGAAATGCCAGTGTCTTTTATTGGCCAGTGGAAAGCAATTGACTGAGGCAATTCAGAGTTTTTCTCAATCGCCGTGACAGTCTCTTTTGGAAAGAGGGACTTTATACGGGTTTTGAAGGAAGTTGGGGCTTGAGCTGGGGATTGGGAAGGTGTGTAGCTGACAGGGGGGGGCTGTCGGTGGTGGAGGTATATTAGAGAACTCCTTTCCAGGCCTTCGCAGCGCAGCAACTAAGATGGTAACGCAGGCAATCACAACACAGTTCCCAGCAGTATTGGGACCTTCCAGTGCTTCTCAGTTTTTTTCCTAGCTTTGTGCGGGCGCCATCCTTGCTGGGATCAATCTCTTCGGCAAGCGGGAGATTGTCCTCGTCTTCCACCAAACTGGCCACGGACAAGCTAGTAGCGTTGGAGTTCGCTGACGACGAGAGGAACGGGCATCATGGTGTCAAGTACCAATTCGCCAGAGTTGCGTGTCTTGGTCACCCATACCAAAGGCCCCAGGAGGGACATCCTGGCGTGCAATATTGGTTTCACGTGCTAGACGTGGCGGATCGGTCTCCCATCACCTCTTGATTCAATGTCACCTTCTTGTTGCTCTTGCCGTTCAGTTTGGAAGGTATCTGAGGAACTGCCGGTAGCAACGACAAGTGAAAAATTCAGAGCGGTCGCCGTCGTGGTTGCGCACCAGGCGCAGCGGCATAGGCACCTGGACGCTCATAAGTTTCTCCAGTGGCAGTCGCTGGTCGTTCTCTAAGAGGTGCGTTCTCACAAATGCCGACCGAGGGAATAGTTGCAGCAGTACCTGGTAGCGACTGGGTAACTTGTCGTTGTTGTCGTCGTCGTTGCAAAGGAGGCAACCTTTGCCGTGAAAAGATTTCGCTCTGCTTCCTGGATGGGTGTTGCAGACGCAGCGGAAGCTAGCCGGGAACCATTGGAACAAAATCGTACACTCTCGGAAGACGTAATGTACCGGTACCGTGCCGGGGTGCAGCCTCACAGTACCAGTACGTAGTAGCGCAAAAGGGGCGAAGTGCCAAAGACACTGGCCTCTTAATTGCGCTGGATGATTGCAGAAGTTAGCAGTAGAAGCTGAGGAATCGTGCTTTGAAGGAGGTTGTTGTGGTGGGTGAGAGAGGAGGGGGCTGTGATTCATTCGATAGTGTCAACATCAACTCGCGCTGATACTAGCTAGCTAGATCTTTTGCATGAATCAATCAAGGGTCTTGTTGTCCCGAAAATTTGGAGGTGGTCCCGTAGCACAAAATTCCCGCTGTAGAACTCGACGAAACAAAAAATCGCCACCGGTATTGTATCTATTAGATGGGTACCATGCAGTGGTGTTTCTCTTCGAGCTCATTATCATTATATCGCAACCGCGGTCAATTGCAATCATGAAAGTCCTGAAATTCGTCGTCACTTCCATGGTCATTGGCCTTGCTGGAGCCGAAACCATCCGTGGGTCTACAGCAGAGTTTGAAAGGATGCTGCAGGAGGACTCGAGCGCTCAATGTTCGTCGAACCCCGTTTGCCTCGCTATGGGCGTGGAAGGGGCGTGCTGCCCCACCGCAGACGGCGTTTTCTTGGACTGCTGCAACCGTTCTTGCAGTGCTCACAGCGCTTGCAACACCTTGGCCGACAACTGCTGCCCCACAAATGACAACGTCGAGTTAGATTGCTGTGACCACCAGGAAAAATTGGAAGAGTTCCGCAGCTATCGGAACAATGCGGCTCGAGCTTGCTCTGCCCATACAAGCTGCAGGCAGTTAGCCGGGGATTGCTGCCCTACCGTCGACAATGTCTACTTGGATTGCTGCGGAAATTAGTCAGTAGCCCGTCCTGACAACAACAGAACGATCAACACTGCCGGAGACAAGCTGGAAACGAAGGGCGGGGGGTAGGGACAGGACAGGACCAGACGTCAGAAAGCAATGCCCCGTCCCCCGCCTTTCACTCATAACTCATAACTACGCGAACCAAAAGACCTGTAATAAACGTAACCAATCAATAACGCAAAAATTTCTCTATTTTATGCCAACTTGGCGTTGGCAGCACCAATATCGTACTGCTCCCAGTCGCTTTCCCGGAGCGGTCGTTGCTCCAGCAGTAGCTTACCATTCATCACAGTTCCAACATGGGTAAACCCAACCTTGTCGCAAAATTCACGGTCGTGAGATATCACCACCACCGCTCCATCTTTGCCGCCCCAGCCCGATAAAGCCCTGGCTAGGCCTTCAATACATCCAACGTCGAGGTGATTGCTAGGTTCGTCTAACATGAGCAAATTGCTGGGTTTCAAGGCAAACATTCCCAACGCAACACGGGCCTTTTCTCCGCCACTCAAGGCAGCGACCTTTCGCAGAGGTTTTTCTCCTCCTAGATTGAGGCGGCCCAACACACTCCGAGCCGCTTCATCTGTCACAGTAATGTCTCCCATGTCGCCTTGGCGGGCATAGGCCGTGACGAGATCGACAGCTCGAGCTTCGGGGTCCAACTCTTGGGCCAAATCTTGCGTAAAGGTTCCCAAGTGCAATCGATCGTTTTCAATGCGTTCGCCACTCTGAATCATGGTAGGGACGTTGCCCCTCAATGCTTTCAAGAGGGTGGACTTGCCGGCACCGTTGGGACCTCGAAGCAACAACTTCATTCCCCTGGGAATCTTCAAGCTAATGTTTGCCAACAATGGTGCTTCGTTGGGGTCATATCCAATAGTGGCATCTTTCAGCGTTAGCAAATGTTCTCCGTTGGGTTTGGGAGGTGTTGGCAAGACGAGTTCTGGGATTCGAACGTTTGCTGTAACTGCCAGAGGTGGTGGATCCAACTTGCCCTCCTTTTTCATCTTTTCCAGCATTTTGACACGAGATTGTGCTGACTTGGCCTTGGTAGCCGAAGCTCCAAACTTGTCAACAAAAGCTTGCAGCCTTGCGGCTTCTTCCAAGTTGCGAATATACTCGGAGTGTGCTGTTTGGGCGCGGAACAATTTCTCCTCCTTGTAGTTGGCATATGAACAAGAACGGTATTCGATTAGAGAGCTTCCGGTAATCTCAGCGATGTTGTTGACTCCAGCATTCATGAGAGAGACGTCGTGGGACACCAAAACCACACTACCATCATAATTAGCAATGTATTTTCCCAGCCAATCTCGAGCCGAAGAATCCAAGTGGTTGGAAGGTTCATCCAAGAGCAACAGGGACGGTTTGGAAAGCAACAACCGCGCCAAGGCAATTCTCATTTGCCAGCCTCCGCTGAAATCACTGCACAACCGATCGGAATCTTCTGGCTCAAACCCCAATCCCTTCAAGACGGTATCCACCAACTGTTCCACCTCATACCACCCAAAGCTTCAAATTCTTCTTGGGCCGCGGCAAGAGCCTCCAATGCTTCTTCCGAATAATCTCCGTCTTCCACAACTTTACTGGTCACCTCCAATTGCGCGCGGGCTGTTTCCACTGCGGTCATTTCACTGCGGGCTTCCTCAGAGACAGTTTTGGTACTGCCACTGACGGCGGACTGTTTCAAATATCCCACCCGGACATTGGAATGAACCAATGCTTTTCCAGTGTCCATTCGGACGGTACCAGTAATGGCTCCCAGCAGGGTCGACTTCCCCGCTCCATTGACTCCAACAATCCCCCATCGTTCGTTGGGTTGGACGCTCCAATCAATGTTGTTGAGTAGAGGACTGGCGCCACGGCTAATCGCCACATTTTCGAGTCGGAGTGCCGCGCCTTTGGTGTCGCCGACGGTCGTTCCGTAAACTTCGGCATCTTCCGTGGGAGGAGCATTTTTATTGTTCGTTTTGGGTTTCTCCAACGTAGTAGCCGTGCTGCTGGAAAAGAGATGTGTGTGGGTGATTGTGCTTGTGCTTGTGGTGGTGCAAAGAAAAGCGTTCTGTTGAGCCGTAAAGGCCTGGATGGAGGCAACCAGGGCCAACGAAATCGGTAAAGATAATCTCATTTTCGTCTCTTTTTAATTAGAATTCGTCTGAATGAAGCTGCTGCTGCTGCTGCTTCGTGGAAAGAGGTCAAGAAAATGAAACTGACATCACTTTGCTTCTCGGATTTGGTGTGTGGTTTGGAGGAAGGAAGGAAGGAAAGCCATTCAAGTCGGTGCGAACGCAAAAAAAAATTGGACGTGGCAAAATTTCATGCCGTCACTGACTGACCAACTGAGTCAGAGTTTTCATTGGTCGCCAAGGAGTCAGTGACTGGACTCGTCACTCAATCCTTGACTGTCACTCAGTCCATTGTGACTCAGTCACTTACAGTACTGACAACGGTTTCGGAGCCACATCGGTTCAGAGGGGCCATTAGCTGCCCGGCGCGCATTTTCGTGCTATCGTTCCGAAGCATTTTCCTCAAACGAAACATTTAAGCCGAAATCCCTGTTATACAAGGCACAACATGGTGTACTGTCTTGGTCAAATTGCTGATTAGAATGATAAACCATTCAAACATGCTTGGAGGCCTCGGAACTTTCCCCTGAAAACTCCGATCCGAACAAGGATGCTTTCCAGAAGATTTGTTAAGTCTTTCGCCAAGCTTGCCCGGCGCTTATTGTCCTCTTTCCTCTTGTCCGAACCTATGTGGAGCATTCATTCCTCGATTGTTACAGTGTAGATCTTTCATGTAGGCTGGCCGGTGCCTATTGTCCCCTCTGAACCTATTGGCAGCCATAAAAACTGGCCTGACCTTTGCCGTTCGCTGCATGCAGTGGCTACGAACGACTCACAGAGGGTTCCCATTCAGAAACGACCAATAAACAACCCGAAGTGTAGAAAGATCTTGTCTAGAGAAAGATCTTCTCTAGAGAATCTGAACCCTATCTATATTATTCTACTGACTAGTGTATATGCGACACTATTCGGCTTTTTTTCAGCGTTCGTCTCCTGTTTCCTCAGTTTGCTCGCTACTTAAATCCTTAGACGAATACATGCACAACCGAATATTGTCAATCCAGCCATTGTAGCCAGTTACCGTAGAGTTACATCGATCCGTGATAGTACCGAACACGCACTCAGGTTCCGCTTTACTGGCTACACTCCGTTACCGGTACCTTGCTTTGGATCCTATGACGAATACATGCACAACCAAAATTATGAATCCAGCCATTGTAGCCGGCTGCGGTAAGCTACATCGACGACAGTGCAACAGTACCAAAAGTTCGGCTTTGCTGCTACGGTTACCGTACCCCATTGGATCCTTATGACGAATCTGCACAACCGAGATATTCTCAATCCAGCATTGTAGCCAGTTACCGAGAGTTACATCAATCGGTACAGTGCAACAGTACCGAACACACAGGTTCCGCTTTACTGGCTACACTCCGTGACCGGTCCTTGCATTGGATCCTTGACGAATACATGCACAACAACATAGTCAATCCAGCCATCGTAGCCAGCTATCGTAGAGTTCATCTCGGTGAGTGGCAACAGTACCGAACAACTCAGGTTCGACTTTGCTGATGCAGTCGGTTACCTCGCATTGGATCCTTATGACGAATACATGCACAAAACCGAATATTGTTAATCCAGCCATGTAGCCAGCTCCGTACAGTTACATCGGCGAGTGTCAACAGTACCGAACACACTCAGTTTCCTTTGCTGGCTACACTCCGTTGCCGTACTTGCATTGGATCCTTATGACGAATACATGCACAACCGAAAATTATGAATCCAGCCATTGTAGCCGGCTGTGGTATAGCTACATCGACGACAGTGGCAACAGTACCAAAAGTTCGGCTTTGCTCGCTACGGTTACGGTACCACGATTGATCCTTATGACGAATACCTGCACAACCGAATATTCAATCAGCTTTGTAGCCCAGTTACCGTAGAGTTACATCAATCCGTGACAGTGGCAACAGTACCGAATACACAGGTTCCGCTTTACGGCTACACTCCGTTACCGGTACCTGCATTGGATCCTTATGACGAATACATGCAACCGAACATTGTCAATCCAGCCATCTAGCGCTACACACGTAAGTTCATCGATCGTGACAGTGGCAACAGTACCGAACACACTCAGTTCGACTTTGCTCGTGCATCGTTACCTCGCATTGATCCTTATGACGAATACATGACAAAACCGAATATTGTTAATCCAGCCATTGTAGCAGCTACCGTACAGTTACACGGCGACACTGTCAACAGTACCGAACACACTCAGGTTCCGCTTGCTGGCTACACTCCGTTGCAGTATCTTCATTGGATCCTTATGACGAATACATGCCACACCGAAATTATGAATCCAGCCATTGTAGCGCTGTTATAGTACATCGACGACAGTGGCAACTACCAAAGTTCGGCTTTGCTCCTACGGTTACCGACTTGCATGGATCCTTATGACGAATACATGCACAACCGAATATTCTCAATCCAGCTATTGTAGCCAGTTACCGTAGAGTTACATCAATCGGTGACAGTGCAACGTAACCAGAACACAGGTTCCGCTTTACGGCTACACTCCTACCGGTACCTTCATTGGATCCATGACGAATACATGCACAACCGAACATTGTCAATCCAGCATCGTAGCCAGCTATCGTAGAGTTATCGATCGTGACAGTGGCAACAGTCGAACACACTCAGGTTCGACTTGCTCGTGCATCGTTACCTCGCATTGATCCTTATGACGAATAACATGCACAAAACCGAATATTGTTAATCACCATTGTAGTCAGCTACCGTACAGTTACACCCGGCGACACTGTCAACAGTAACGAACACACTCAGGTTCCGCTTTGCTGGCTACACTCCGTTGCCAGTATCTTGCATTGGATCCTTATGACGAATACATGCACAACCGAAAATTATGAATCCAGCCATTGTAGCCGGCTGCGGTATAGCTACATTGACGACAGTGGCAACAGTACCAAAGTTCGGCTTTGCTCGCTACGGTTACTGGTACCTTGCATTGGATCCTTATGACGAATACATGCACAACCGAATATTCTCAATCCAGCTATTGTAGCCAGTTACCGTAGAGTTACATCAATCCATGACAGTGGCAACAGTACTGAACACACAGGTTCCGCTTTACTGGCTACACTCCGTGACAGGTACCTTGTATTGGATCTTTATGACGAATACATGCACAACCGAACATTGTCAATCCAGCCATCGTAGCCAGCTATCGTAGAGTTCTTCGATCGGTGACAGTGGCAACAGTACCGAACACACGCAGGTTCGACTTTGCTCGCTGCACTCGGTTACCTCGCATTGGATCCTTATAACGAATACACGCACAAAGGAATATTGTCAATCCAGCCATTGTAGCCAGCTGCCGTATAGCTAGTGGCAACAGTGCTTGATTTGCGCATACAGGAAAATGGGGATAGGGGGTTTAGAGTAGGGAAATTATCTACGGAAGCCAGATGGGTACGGACATAGGAATCACCACCAAAACAGTAGGAAATAACAAGAAGAGCTGAATCCGGTAGGAGGATCCACTCTCTTGTGTGTTGTCGAGTAGCTAGCCTTGCTCCTGTTCCCTTTCAATGAGTCGAGGACGATCCGTTCATGCTGTTGGTAGGGCTGGAGTTAACAGTTTCCTCCGTACACTTACAGTACCTCCGTAGCGGTAGCCTCTTCTTCCTCGTGTTATTCGGAGCGATCAATCGTTCGTTGGACCGCGACAATGGTAATTCATCGGCCGTCAGCAGTACAGCAGAGAAAACAACAAATAGATATGAGTTTTGTTTTCTGTGCTCAACTGCAGATGACCGGAGACTTACCATTGTTTTTCAAATTGCACCAACTTGGCCGTCATGGGCCAAGAACTGACTGCCATCCCATCATCCATATGATTCAATGAGGGATGGTTTTCCAATCTGCACCGGAGACGGTCGGCTTGAGTGAGGCTTGGATAATAGAGGTGCGACCGATTCGATTCATTCGAATAATTAAAACAACTCACCTGTTGACGGCCGAGCTTGGAATTCTCTCCTGAATACCATAGAAATCCAATGAGGGAGAGAAGTCAGTGCTGTACCTTCAATAACAGGCTTGATAATAGGCTTACCTTATTGCGATCAATCAATCGATCGATCGACCGATTGGATAAAGAACTCCTCCTACCGGCATACGTATACCACTCTTGTCGGCCAAGCTTGGATTTCTCTCCTGTTTGCCATAGAAATTCAATGAGGGAGAGATGTCAGTGCTGTGCCTTCAATTAATTGAACCATTCATCGTACCATACTGGCACTCAATCAGTTTATCCTTAACCTTAGTAACTTCACCGGTTCTTTTATCCACGAATCGAATCGAATCAATCTAAATCTTTCGAAAGGGAACTTATTACTTAACGACACACATGACCGTTGATTCTGCAACTGAAGTGCGGCTACTGTCTCATGGAGACGTAATATGCGTATAGAAACTCGAAAATAAGGCTAGCTAGGAATGGCGGCAGCGGAAGGCGGGATAGACACTTTGAAAGCAAACTGGAGCGGCAGCTGTGATATTATGGCAGCTTTGAAATCAGGTTGTGTGATGCTTCAATTTGGCAACCTTGGGGGTATCATCTTTCCCCTCATTGCAAATATCCTTCTGACTGGCAGTTAGATTAACCTAAGAAGCGCGCTTGCGTGTATGATGATTACCTTCGAAGGGACTATTATCAATACGCTGAACAATGGGAGCTTTGTCAATAACAGCTTCCTCAGGTGCTTGCTCAACATTATTACCAGCTTCAGCCCTACCATATAATCATATAATTCCAGCAAAGAGTGACTGATTGATCTAAGCAAAGTTCTATTCTGAGGTCGGAATTGCCAATGATGACTGTTCGATATGTGGAAACTCTATAGCTCGACCCTTTCCGATGAGCGAGATAGATCTCGGGAGGTCTTTCTCGCTGAATTTCCTCTCTCGATCTCTTCCTCAGATCTCAGCTGATGATAGATGATGATAAGGGAGCCTTAACTGGCTTTCCTCAGCAGCAGAATGGCTC